TCGGACTCTCTCTCCTCATCCCTTCATTTTCTGCCTAATTTTCCAGTAGAACAAATGCACTTCTTAATTCAGCTTTTGTTTCACCGTTGTTCTTGTTCTTCTCTTGCCTTTCACATCTCCTCCTCTAATATACAATCCTTTTCTCTAGGTTCTCTTCAAAGGACGGTGGATCATGTTCATCTCTCTTTACACTTCTATCACCTTCTTTTCAAACTTTTGCCTGAAATTTGGCATTTTTTCCAGCTGCATCTTTAGTACTTAACACTTCTCTTCTGTGAAGCATATAATTTATCATCTATAAATAGCCTCAATCATATAGCCACTCAAAAATAATAAGCTTCCAACAGCTTTTCCATCCAGTTATCTTCAGTTTCCTCCCCTCTTCAGTTTTTTTCTGTGGCTGCATTAACAGACAAGCTGTGTTTTCTCTTTGCCTTAAATTCACAGCTCAGAAGAGGAAAAAAAAACCTACCACACCTCCTCATAGATCTTAACGATTTCTATCCTGTTTGCTAGCCTGCACCACTTTTTCTCTTGAGCTTTTGTTTAGGTCAGTCCTGCCATCTAATTGTCATTTGGCAGCTAACTGTTCATCAGCCCAGATCAAAGGCAGGGAGTATATATATACACTATCTAATGCAAAATATCTGAACAAACACCCTCCTTCCAAAAGGACAAAACAGCCAAGTAACAAAGAAACAAATTCTCTTACTGGCAAAAAAATAAGGTTTTGCTTTTTCTTCATTCAGCAGTTTCCTGCAAAGTCTCCTGTGTACCTCTCTGTGTCTTCTGGACTTCTCTGAGCATAAAAAGTCCTGCCAATTTTTACCAGGCCACTCGTGGTTTCCAGTTCTTATGTGTGAACAATTAAAATATTCATTCTTATGAAGGACAATTCCTTTTAATTAAAGAATAGAACCATGGATTAATCATATGTCCATCAATAAGATCCACAGCAAATCCTTTCAGCCTATATTAAAACACTCTCACCTTGCAGATGTCCTCTCCTAATGTATGGAAGAAGAGCTGGAACTTGTTGACCATCTCCACAATTACCTTCCTACACTTTGAGCTCTGCATTAGTGTAAGGATTAAACTTCAAAAAGTACCATCATGCAGTTCATCACCACAGTTAAAGTGTGTCTGGAGACTGTCATCCAATAGATGTGTAGAACCACCACTCAAGTTAGTCTTAGAAAACATTTCCATACCTTAGTGGCGAATAACCTATCACCATAATTACAAGGTAATCCTGCATCCCACTGTTTTGTACTTCATTTGACTTGATATGGACAAATAAACTGGAAAAGTAACATATGGAGAGAGACTAAAAATTGAATATCATATCCCTGTGCTATATCAGCAAGAGCTAAACAAAACACATCAATAACAGTCAACAGTTGTAGCTTGGGCCATCTGGTCACAAAGGCCCATATTACCAAGACTGTATTAAAATATTTTAATCTTACTAGTTTCCCTCAGGAATGAAGGATAATATGCAAAAGCTTAAATTCTGCTAAAAGGTGAGATTCCTCTACCTACAAGCACAGCACGCCTATGATAGTTATTTAATTAAGAGATACCTTAATGAAGGATGTGCAAATGGCAAGGTAATAATCTCATTCCTAAATGAGTATGCTGGAAAGCCAGTAACAGCACAGAGAACAGCCTCTACACATGTATTTCCTTGTTAAGATAAAAACTAATTTGAATATTTGTTATTAATTAAAACAAACCAATTTTTTCCACTTGTCCAGTGCAATATCACCTTCCTGACTTCTATTACCAAACCTTAATGAATAAAGTCCTCTAAAATCCCCATGTTTTTTTGTTTATGCTATTGTTTCCTAATGGTGAAATAAAATGTCATTAATTGTTCTCCCCCGCTCTCCTATTTTTGCACATCTGCCCTGCTCCCAACTAAGTGCTAATAAGCAGTTCAACTGTTGGTGGCTGCTGCAATCACTTCCAAACAACCTTGTGCATTTCCAGGCAACATAGCATGGGTTGGAAAGCAAGATGCAGTCAGGACAGATGAATAATCTACATTCGTAATTTGCTAAAGCAGATGAAAGAAAGGGAAAATAACATACTCAGGGTGCAACTGGAAACCTAACTTTTATGTGGACCTCCAAACCAGACCACATGATGGTATCAACCAGAACTAGTCATAGCTGAAATTATCGCTACCCTATATTTCATTCAGTCAGGAAAGCTTCACATTCCTGATGAGAAGAAAATGTAACATTGCAGTAACAAAGATGAAAGCAAAACAAAAGTTGGAATTCTTTTTCACACAGGAAAATGTGTGGTTATCCCCCCCCCCCCCCCCCTTATTGTATTGGAATTCCTTGTTCCTAAATGATTTTATTGCTATGTTTATTGCTATGTCTGAATAAAATATAAACTGCCCCACTGTGCAATCTCACAGAGATTTGACCGGGAACACCCACTACAGAGGAGCTCAGAAGGACACCGCTCACAGTGTTGGGGGGCAGACAGGGTGAGCCCTTGTGAGCCCCTGCGGTATGAGACAAACTCTGCTGTTCCCATCACAGCAAACCTACACGAGTCCTCAGCCCTGACTGCTGGCAGTTACACGACAAAAGCTTGATCCAGAATCTGCTTTCCTTTCTTCTTCCTTCTCACTTTTAAAATTCTATTCTAACATGCAAATTATCCATTCTCTGTATGTTTTCTCTCTTCCCCAAAACACTATAGAAACCACAGCTACTAAATACATCTGCAATGTCCCTTCATAGTGATTACAACAGACCAGAGATGACAAAGTTTAAGTTCAAGAGAAATTCATACACATCAGATGCTGTAATTCATCAGTCCATGTAGTGCCCTGCTGAGGCTTCTGAAGATAAACCCCAGAATATTGCAGCAGAGGAAATGAATGTGTTTCTTATGCCTCACAGAAGTGGGCAACTAAATGAATTTTTGCAAATTCATGGAGCCACATACAGTTCACAATAAACATCTAAAATTAAATGAGACAGATGATCAACTTTTTCTACAGTTTGTGCAGGATCTGAAACAAGTACGTGAATTGGGTGTCTAAGGCTCCCTAGATTAGTACAGACTATTCTATTTCTGAAGACTTCATGACCTATCTTATGAAGATCTGTGATATGTCAAAAAGACCTAAAAGAATTGCTTTTATTTTCAGCATTAACCCCTACTCATTTTTTTAGTTAGGGAACAATAGACTCTTTTCCCTACCATCAGTACGTCTGAGGCTCCAAACCTTTTTGTTTATGCTTTGTTAAGCATTCAGTTGCAAATTACTGCAGTTGACCTAGAATATTTCATTCCATTATTTTAAATATCTCTAAAATTTTTGTCTCACTTGACATATATACACTCTATGTTACTACTTGCAATAGCCAAAATACTCATGTCTAGATACCTAAATTAGAAATATACTGAAAAAAAATTGTATTTAGAGACTTTTAAAACTGATGACACCTCCAAGTAATTCAAGGTGCTGATCATTTGCAGTTCCTATAATTTAAACATTAGTTGAGGATAAGTATCTTAGGGCCTTTGAAAAACAGACTGCCAGATGCTTTTACACTTTTGTGTTTGTACATCATCTAATGCACTTGTGATCCCTGACTAGCATTTCAGGAACAATAACAAATCAAGATGACAACACGCTAGGAAAACGTTTAAGTACAAATAGGACCCGATTCATCTCATTCTGCTTAAGGAGCCTTAGTTACCAGGACTAGTATTCTAAACTCTCAATAAAAATACTTAATGAAGGCACCTCTAGAGAGCAACTCAGACTACCTCAGATCTAAAAATTCAGTGTTCATGAGCAGTAGAGGTGGAAGGTGGCAGTAAGAAATAATAACACAAAGAAGACAGACTATAGATCTGTGTCTAAGTAACCTTTTTAATTCTCTCACTGCTTTAAAATTGCACAACAGAAGTCTTAAAAATTAACTATTTATCACTAACATATTAACCAACAATATTTACTTTAGTTATTGATCGTTAATTCTCAAACACTGAAATGTGGAGGGAAAAGTTCATAAATAGCTTTAGAAAATTTAGGACACATTAAAAAATACTTCAGGAAGATAGAAAAACTCACGTAAATTTATGAGATCAATATGAATTATTGATGGGGAAAGGGGAGAAAATTAAATCTTCATAGATTATTCTTTCTTTTTACTGATAGGAAAACAACGTTTCCTAATTATTAAAGTAACTTATTAGGTGCCAGCTGGCTAAATTACACATCGATTGTAGAGTAAAATTCTGCCCTCGAGCTGTGCATTTAGCTCCAGCAATCATATCAGTGGGAATTAGGAATAGACTCCACAGCTGTACAGGCCATCATGTCATTAACACACCTACTAAAGTCAGAGCAACGCCTAGCAGTCCCTGTTTCAAAACTGCCAACATGCAAAATATATTCATTTAATTACAACTTCTGATGCCTAAATGGCCATTTGAACAATTATTGGTATTTCACTTTTAATGATTCTGTATATACAAGCTGCATATCTAAAGTTCTGGACAAGTGTCTTTTAGAACTCTCATCTGTCTGGTTGCCTGCAGATACAAGAAAAACTTTACACTTTTTGGTCAGACATTTGTAAACAACAAAAAATAAAAATGAAAACACCTGCAAAGACTTATTTTGTCTTTGGACACTGGAAATTAACTAAGGAATGAACAAAAGATGGTTTTACATGTAATGCCTTATGAAGGTACTATCTACTGAAGATAGCAGCTGCATGAAAACATATGTCTCCGATTAATGCTTTTTACCAGAATGTATGCTGTTAAAGTCTGCCAGGAATACAAAGCCATTTTCATCTGTCTACACAATGTAGACAGCACAACAATCTTCTCTTCAGTTTTATGTTTCTTAATTTTGTCTGGGACATTACTACGAACATGACAGGCATTCCAAAATTTTAAGAGAAATAGATCAATTACTTAATATCAAAATTTGATCCAGTTCTTTGTTGACTTACCTTGCCAACAGATCTGGGGAATGGTGGTCTTTGATTTTCAGGAATTAATATTGGAGTTGCCAAAATAGCCCTTTTTTGTCGTGGAATTCCAAGGTTGCCTTCTATCTTAAAGATTTCCTAAAAAAGAAAAAGACCAATTACAAAGACTTTCAAAATAATATTCAGTTGTTACTTCCATTCCCTGCATCTTTAAGCAAAATTAACATGAACTACCATATTATAGGTTTTGCATTATATGTTTTCCAGCAATCAGTGATAACGTATCAAACTATTTATTTAAATCTGTCAGGTTTCCCCACTTATTACAGTGACAGTGGACAGGCCATATTCATTTTGTATTCCTGTAGACTGGTTCTAAACCTAAGCAAGTGTGTCTACCATGCTAACCTGATGACTGCTTAAATCATAAATCTTAAATGAGGTGTGGCTTACCTCAAATACTTGCATGACACCTGTAAGAAGCCACACTTTAAATGTCTGACATAATTTTCACATCTCAAGTCACATCTATACTCGGTTGCTTCTCAGTCCAGGCTTTTAATCAAACAGAACTTACAGGTGAATTTGCTGAGACTGTCCCCAGCTAATGAACTCTCAATAAACACCAAAAGCTTGTAACTTAAAAATAAAAATAGACACCAAAACCCAGGTGTAACTTAGAATATCAGCTAGTAGGGGTTTTTTGTGTTGGGTATTTTGGGTTGGGTTTTTTTTTCTTAGAGAAAACTTAATGCTACTATATCAGAAAGAACAAACATAGAAGTGGTTTATACATAAGCCTTCCTTTTCCTGCTGCATTTTCTGGAGTATTTAGTTCCAGCTGAGCTTCAGGCAATTCAGCACTTTATGAGCTACAACAATCTCTTCACAGTGGCCTCTGGCCCCTAGAAAACTCTGTCCGTCACACCTTTGCCTTCTCTCCCCTTCTGCTCTCTGATCCTCTCAGTGCTCTCTCTGCATGAGCTGCAGTCTCCCAGAGACCACCCCTTTCCTTTTGCTTCCTCCTACAGTCTCTGCAACTCTCTTCTCCAAGCACAGTTACTACCAAGGTCAAAACCAGCCTCTCCCCGTGACCCAGGCCCCCTCTTTTTTTTTTTTGGGGGGGGGGGGGGGGAGAAGACGACAAACCACAGCCCACAAACAAACAAAAAAAAGCAACGCACAAATTTGTACTGTGTTGGGAATCGTAAAACTGGAAAAGAGTTAGATCACTACTATTCATCCCAGTTGTCGTGACAGTTTTACAAAAGAAATCATAGGTTGAATTAAATGTCTAATTCCAATAAGGTAATTACATCCTACACATAAATCCTACAGATAACACTTTTCTCTGCTTTCTTAATGCAGAAACTCCAGAAACCTAAGTTTCTCAGTCAGTTCTGGAATACATGTTGTTGTTTTAATAGCTGCTACTTTATTATATAAGGAGAGCTCCATCCCTAGGCTCTATTTTTATAAAACTGCAAAGCTGAATGAGTTTTCTTGGTGGCACAATCTGGACATCCATCAGTCGAGAACTCCACAGGCTGCTCCTGCTGCCATCTGTATAGGTGCCTCCCTTCTAATGAGTCTATCATCACCAAAACACTGCTGTACTCCACTAGCTTTAGCATCACTTTTCAAATTTGACGACAAACAGCAGCAAGGGAAACTCAAGACTTCAACAGTTGGCTTTAGACGTAATAAAGTCAAAGAGCAGTGGAAACCATGCAGAGAGTCGCTTCTCACAATTTTACCAATTTTCATAACTTTTTGAGGCTCACCCTGACACAGAGTTCCCATCTCTCCCAAAGGCTTTGCCACTTCTCTCTAATCTTTCAGTCTGCAGGCCACTTGGGTCCCTATTTTTGTCTTTCAATTCCTCTCCCAAAAGAATTTTCACTAATAAAAATTCATGAGAAAGTTCAAGATAAAAACATTTGAAGTATCAAATAAAGAGGAAAGAGCTGAATTCTGTCCAAAGGCAAATGCACAGAGCAGTAAGCTTTCAAAATCACTTACACTGTAAACACAGCAGTTTGGCTGGCATGTGTCTGTGACGTTTCTAAGGAGAGTAAAAGTGACTACCAGTATGTCTGAAAGGAAATATCAGTTCTTTAGCTCAACAGCAGAAGTGCTCAACTGATCACAGTTTTCACTCGTGCTAACTCCTACCTTCATGGTTACCCTTCAGCTCATGAAAATGTAAGGAGCAACTCCTAGATGCATGCTCTTTGGAAATGAGCAAGACATTTATTCAGATTTACATCTCTTTGTATAACAGAAACATAGAATAGTTTGGGTTGGAAGGGACCTTTAAAGGTCATCTAGTCCAACCCCCCTGCAACGAGCAATAGGACAACTTCAACTAGATCAGGTTGCTTAGAGCCCCGTCCAACCTGACCTTGAATGTTACATGTTTCTTTCTATGCTAGTTTGAGGAGTAAAAGCAATTTTCAGATTGTTCAATACCTAGATCTCCCAATTTTGGTAGTCATAGACCCATAAGCAATTAATTCATCACTTTCTCATGACAGGTTATCTTTACGCTTTCCCAGAAGATCCACAAATGGAAGAAAAAGACAAATTATATTCAATGAGTCAACACTGCAGTCGTTAAGACAAAGCAGCGAAGTTCTAAAGGAAAGCAGAAAGGTGGTAAGACTTAAGGCCTTCAAGTCCAGATTTCTGAGCAGGACTTTGGAACAAAAAAGGAGAAACAGTATTATTTGTTCATTTGTTTTTAAACGCAATTGGTCTGTTGCATGGAGAAGAAAGCTTCAGCAGATTGGGCACAGAAATGTAAGCACTTCTCTATGTTTCACACTGTTTATTCTTCAAATCTCACTGCTGGTTTTTAAATACTGATTTCTTCATGATGATTTCTCTCTCTCTCATCATCCCTGGTGTCTAACGGCAACATGACTGATTAAATGAGTAGCCAAAAGCATTGCTATGGAGTGCAGGTAAACAGAAAGGAAGAAAAGGTCAAGAGTACTTCACCAACAGGTTTAATAATTCAGTGCTGTTTGTGGTTATCATAACGATTTCCCCATTTGTAAAGAACAGGGAAAAACAAAGAACATTTTGTTTAATGCCAAGCGGTTACAACTGATGGTTTGATCCTTGACCAGTATATAAGACAGAAGCCAAAGGATCTGAAATTACATGTGCACTTTGCACCTGATTCAACAGTCAAAACACTGAAAAGATTCCCATTCATGGGTGGATATATTGCATATATAATAATTTCTATTGAATTCACCTATTTAATTTCTCAAAGAAGCAACTCACAAGGGATATGAAATTACTCCAGATAGAGTTGGTAATTTTGCTTCAAATTTTCATACAATATCAGGCTAGCATTATAACAGGATTCTTTTGCCCCTTGACACAAGTGAAACCCACAAAGGAGTTTTCCGTCATCTTTGTTGGAACCAGCTGATCAAAGACTATAGTACCTACCATGCCTTTGTAGCAACCATGACTCCAGACAAGTATTTATGTGACAGGAGTCTGGAGCTGGCAGTCTGGAGAGCCTAGAATGGCACGTCTCAGATCGGTGGTGTTTAACCAGCACCCAGAGAGCCAACGGCCATGATTACCATCTACTTCTCCCACATCTGCTGCTTTGTACAACAAACAGAAACCCAAGGTATGTGTGTCCAGAAACATCCATCGACAAGCAAAATAAAAAGTTATAATAAATATATACCTTCCTAAGAAAAGTGCACCAAAAATAAAAATTCTGGTTTTCCGATTGATTTTTTTTTTAAACCAAAATAGTAAGAGATAAATCCTACCAGGTTCTTTATTTTTAGTATTTAACTGCAATATCACACCTGTGATCACTATCTTTCACCCGCTATTTTCACGAACAGTGGATTATCTGATCAGCATCCAACTATCATTTCACTGTCCACCATTTCATAACCAGCTTTTACATCCTATTTTTGACTTCATTAAATTCCCTTTCTAGACATGGAATCAGTACAGCAATAGTTGAGCACCCAATATGCTGTTTCACTGGCAACAAAACTTGATTCCCTATTCACATTAAGCAAACAACAAACAAAGCCTCCCCATTTTTCCAGCATTTAGGTTAGGCTTTTATTGAAAGATGCCAGTCTGCCCAAACTATGATGCTACGCAAGTTGCAACTTCCCTAGATCCCTTGACAACTCTCCACTCTGTTTTGTTTTTCTTTCTTTTTACCAGGGGTTCTTGGGAGCATTGCAGTACTTGAATATTTGAATGAATGGCCTAGTCACTCTCCAGTAGCAGGCACCATTACTCTTGGCAAAGAAAATTTCATTAGAACTTGTCACGGGAATAAGGTGGCTGAATACTGATATCGATTTGTCACAATAAGGGTTGGAAACATCACTGGAGTGGCAATCTGTAATCCACTATGGTGACCAGAAAAGTGGTTGAGTTTCTTGCCATTTAGTTGTTTTTATATACTAAGCTTGATGGCATAAAATGGGGTCAGTCCCAAACACAAAAAAATAAACAAAATTAATTGGATGCTTGTTGCAAGCAAAATTCCTCTGAAATAGCAAGTGGGATGTGGTATTCAGTGGTATATCAATCTTCCTACAAAATAACATCACTACATAAGACTGAAAAACTAAAACTGCATGCAGATCAACTTAAGAAAAAATAATTTTTATATAATTTGCAGCTAAAATGTCACAATTGTGCTGTAATACTTAGTTGCTTTATGTATGTTATTTCTATCATCAGGATATTTTTATTATCAGCAGTATTAATAGTTAATGATTTCTAAAACATGTGCCAAAACAGAAAAATATTTTCTCATGTTGTTAATAATATGAAAATCTACAAAATGTGCTGGAACTTGTAAGTTAAAGAACAACTGTTTAAACAAATAATTAACTCAATGAATAAAGTTCGTAATTGTAAAGGTCAATGGCATACACACAAACATCTGCTCAAAAGTAGTCTGTCCTCAATGCCTGTTAATGTCACCCTAAAAATCACATTGTATACTTTAGAAGAACAAACCCGCCTAAAATCTAGCATGCTAAGGGGAATCAGGTATGTCAGAGCACATAAGCTTCCAGGCTTGTGCAGCATGGTCAGATATAACATCTGGGTAGTGGAAATTGCTGGTG